GGTGATGTCCAGGGCCTGTTTGGCTCCTCACTTGCGCTCGAGGCTCATCGAAGCACAGCCACCGTCTGGCCCCGCGTGGTGGTGTGGGCGGCGGACATCGTCCGGCCCTGCTGCTGCCAGCACACAGCCCCCTCCACTGAGGCCCCCTCCACCCCCCCTCACGCCCTCAGGCTGGTCATCCTGTCCCTGATAGAGCGTGACTCCCGCCTGATGCTGGTGGGCGCCAGCAGCGACACCGTGCGCGCTTTCTACGAAGCCGTCCGCGACGCTTCCTGGCGCCACCTCAGCCTGCCCCCCTCCCTGGCACCCGCCGGCCAGCTCAGCGCGGCGGACGTGGCGGGCCTGCGCCGCGCTACGCTGGGCGCGCTGGGCGCCATGCTGGTCGTGGGGGACGCCGTCACCATCGACACCCGCCTCTTCCGCACCCACGTCCAGTTCCTGCTCAACCTGCTCACGGCCGTGACGTCCGACGGCTGGGAGGTGGCCGCGGCGGCCGAGGCCCTCGGGTGAGAGCCGGTGGGGTGCGGGCGGGGCTGGCGGCGCGAGGCGCCGCACCCTGCCGCCCGCCTCACCCCCATCACAGCCTCCCACTCCTCCCTTCCCATGCCCCACTGCAGGGCGCTGGAGAGCACCTACCCCGGCCTGCTGATGGAGGCGGGGTGGTACCTGGCGGAGCGCGTCGAGAGCGCCGCCGCCGCCGAGGGGCCGCTCACGCCGGCGCAGAACGGCGAGGTGTCGCTTGCGGCCCTGGTGCTGAGCCACGCCGCGGGTGAGGCGCGGGGTGGGAGAGGGGAATGCCTGTCGGTTGGAGTTGGGTTTTGAAAGGGGGGGGGGTGGTACACACAGCTGGACCCATTGCATGTGGTGTCTGGGGACTGCACGCGCGGTTTCGGCGGCGTGACCGTTCTTGGTCCAGCAGACCCTCGACCATTTCGCGTCCCCCCCGTCCGCCCCCCACCCACTCACCCACCTGGCGCAGGGATGTACAACGAGCAGCAGCGTGGCAGGGTCCCGCCCCTGCTCTCGGCGGCCGATCTGGCGGCGGCCCCTGGCACGCTGCCCCCCAGCCCCAGCGAGGCCGAGTGGGAGACGCCCTCGCCCCCCGCCGCCGGTCTGGGCTCCCTGCTGCTCCCGGAGTATGTGTCGGAGGATGGCAGCCTGGCCTCCGAGGCGCGCGGCGGCGCCGGCGGCACCGCGCGCGGCGTGCTGCGCCCGCTGGGCGACCTCACCCCCTCCGCCTCCTTCGCCTCCTCCGCCTCGGCGCCGGAGGGCGCGGCAAGCCAGACCCTGGAGCTGCATCTGCTGGAGCGCAAGGGGCGCGAGCTGCTGCGCCGCTTCCGCGTGCCCGCCCACCTCACCCCCGGCGGCGGCGAGGCCGGCGCGACAGGCGAGGCGGCCGCGGTGCGGGCCGCCGCCGCCGGGGACGCCGCCACGGCCCCGCCCGAGGACCGGGCCACCGCCGCCGCGCCGCCGGGGGACACGGCCTCCGGCGAGGCCCGCCCCGGCGAGGCCCGCGCCGCCTCCCCCGAGGCCCCCACCCGCCCCCCTCCGCCCGTGGCCCCGCCTCGCCGTCCCGTCGTCCTGCTGAGCGAGGCGGCGCGGCGCGAGCTGGGCGAGGCCACGCTGTGTCTGCTGCGCCTGCTGGCGGTCGTGGCCAACCCCGAGGCCCTGCGCGCGCGCCTGCCCCCGCTGCTGGCGGCCTCGGCGGTGCCCGACGCGGCCCTGCGCCGCGCCTTCTTCCCCCTCCTCCGCGCGCCGACGCTGGGCACGGCGCTGGCGCTGCACGACGCCGCGCCGGCGCGCTTCGCGCGCTGCGCCCCGGAGCTGGTCCGCCGCGTGCTGCGCGCGCTGGCCAGTCCCGCCCGCGGCGAGGAGGACCGTGTGACCGCGGCGCGCTGGCTGCACGCCCTGCACGCCCGCGCCGGCGCGGGGCTGGACGGCGCCCGCGCGGCGCACGACCGGGGGGGGGGCGGCGCAGTCCCCGTCCGCCGTCCCCGGGCCCGCCGCCTCCCCGCTGGCCGCCTCCTGGGCGCTGCTGCTGCCGCTGCCCGACGACCCGCCCCGCGTCTTCGCGGCGCGGGTGCGCACGCTGGCGGCGGCGCTGGAGGCCGGCGCGGGCGACCCCT